GATGACCTTGGGCAAGCCATAGTTCTGTCCGAGCTGTCCTTGAAAGAGCAGTCATCGGGAGAGCTCTCTCAGCCCCATCCACCTCACAGGGTGTCTGTTGTGGGGAGGGGGAGGGAAAGGAGTTTGTAAGCCGCTCTGAGACTCCGAGGGAAGGGCAGGGTATAAATCCAATCTCTTCTTCTTCTTCCTTGGTAGCACATTGTTATGTTGGGGCATGTAAAGCAGTTGTACAGATTCAAATCTGGAAGATCGTTGGAAAGATTTCAGTTTAGCATTCTCTGCTGGTCGCTCAGTCACATTAGGATAAATTAGAACAATACTCCGAGTAATACCGTTCTAGGGATGCTTTGTAATTTGCAGTGGATTATTTGGGTGGAAGGGAAGTCTTGATGCTGGGATTCTGAAAGCCAGTAACGTTCAGAGCTCGGAACAGACCACAACTTGGACATTAAATAAAACCGCCCCTTGACTTATTTTCGATAATGTGACATTTAAACATCAGGCGCGCTCTGTCTTCCAGGATCCGATCCTCCGTCGTTCGGGGATGTATACGGTTGCGATGGCGTACTGTGGCTCAGGGAACAACAAAGCCATCCGGCGCCTCTTGCACGTGGCCGTGAGTACCCTGGGCTTTGGGGCGGAGGATGTGGGCACTTACGGGAGCACACACCCAGCTCATCTGCAGGCGTTTGCCGTGGGCGTCAGGCTTCAGATCTTGTGCTTGTCCAAAGCTGATAGTAGTTGTCGTTTAGAAACCAAACTGTGGGTTGAGCTTCTAGAAGTCCAGCAGGTGTCCCTTGACTTAAAGCCGCTTGGCTTCATTTGTTGCCCTTTTACCCACAGCTTTCGGAATCCTTTCCCGTCTTTGGTAGTACACCCCCCTCGGGAGGCCAAGCGAGCAGATCGTGATTTCGGATTCTGGATTAGGGTTGCCAAGTCACTTACTTGGCATAGCGGGGGAGAGTTGGTCCCTGCCGGGGACATTTGCATGCATGGCGCGAGGACGTCGCCCGGAAGTGATATCATCACGTTGGGGGCATCGCTGGCTGACGCTCTAGCAATCAGCCTGGAAACTCTATGGTGCCATAGAGCGTTCAGGCTGATTGCTAGAGCGTCAGCCGGCGATGTGCCCAACGTGATGACGTCACTTCCGGGCGACGTCATCGCGCCCGGCGCGTTGGCCTGAACCGGGCACTTTGGGGGCAGGTTTCCCCCTGCTGGCCTAATCCGGACCGGCAGGTTGGGGGCCCTTTGGGCGGGCAATCCTCTGCCCCGCCGCCCCGCCCCGAGGACCTGGCAGCCCTATCCGGGATTGACAGTCAATCGCAAGCCGTGGTTTGCCACTTCAGATGCTGTACAAAAATCATGCTGGCGTTTCCTCAGCCACAGTGAATCTAGGCGTTCCTGTAACATTCCTCTTCACCCAAAACTAGCTGTCGGGTAGCTTGCAATAACTTAGATTCCTCCTATTCTTCTGATACTGCTGCCTGGAGATCTTCCAGAATTAGAACTGATCTCCAAACTACAGGGATCAGTTTCCCTGAAGAAAATGGCTGCTTCGGAAGGTGAATTCTATGGCATTATACCTTGCTGATGGCCGCAGGAACAAACAGCTTTAAAAAGGAATTGGACAGATTCCTGGAGGATCAGTCTATCAGTGGCTACTAGCCAGTGTGACTGAGGGGAACCTCCAGAGCCAGAGGGCAACATCAGGGGAAGGCCTCATCCTCTATGCCCTGTTGTTGGACCTCCAGAGGAACTCCAGAGGGATGAGCACAAACTGGTTCACGAGCCAAAATTCGGCACGAACTTGACCCAGTTCAGACCCCTGAACCAATGGTTAGGGGAAGGGGCCTTCCCCGGACTTTTGCCTGGCTCAGTTTGGCTGTTCAGGTCCAGCTTGGTGTAGTGGTTAAGTGCGTGGACTCTAATCTGGGAGAACCGGGTTTGATGCCCCACTCCTCCACTTGCACCTGCTGGGGTGACCTTGGGCAAGTCGTAGTTCTGATAAGAGCTGTTCTTGAAAAATAGCAGTTTCTGTCAAGAGCTCTCTCGGCCCCACCTCTACCTCACAGGGTGTCTGTTGTGGGGAGGGGGAGGGAAAGGAGTTTGTAAGCCGCTCTGAGACTCCTTTGGGTAGTGAAGGGTGGGGTATAAATCCAATCTCTTCTCTTCTTCTTCTTCTTCTGTCTTTTAAAGCGACATTTACAGTTCTAATAAAACTGAACAAATGCCCTGGCCAATTTCCCTGAGTGTCCCTGTTGAAACTCTTTCGTCTTCTCAACAGGTTAGCGACGTCAACGATGATGTGAGGAGGGCAGCCGTGGAGTCGCTGGGTTTCATTTTGTTCAGGTACAGTTTTTTTGTCTCCACCTCTTCCGCATTATCTGATGACGTACGCGAAGTTCTGCGAACTCACTTGTGCTCTGTCGTAACCGAACAATAACTCATACGTTTGACGACTCATACGTAGAGTGGACATGGAATGTGTCTCCTTGAGCTTGTTGGCTTTGTTTTTCCGGAGGTCATTTTAATATTGTGTCACATATTTACAGGGTTATGTTTAAGAACATAAGAGAAGCCATGTTGGATCAGACCAATGGCCCCTCCAGTCCAGTGCTCTGTGTCACACAGTGGTCCACCCGTGGGGCTGACTTGGAAGCAGGCTGTTGTGGGATCGGTTTGGCCTTCTGTTAACTGTGAGATGACTGAGTCCTCTGTTAGGACAAATAAGCCAGGGGACAGTATTCATGAGCCGATGTACTGATGTAGCCTCCCCAGGAGGCACGGGCTGGGGTCCAGCAGGGCAGGTCACAGAGAGTAACCAACCTCCAGTCCAGGGTCGAGGAGTTCCAGGCAGCAAGTCCAAGCCTGGTTGAAGGTCAGGGGTTCTAGAAAAGCCGGTTGTCAGGTTCAGTCTGAGGTTCAAGGTTGCAGAGGCCCAATAGCAGCAAGGTTGGTGGCTCAGTCGCAAAGTGTACTTGTTGCATCCACATGCTTCTCCCAGCTGAATTTATAGCCAAGTCTTAATGAGCTAAACTCCCAGCCAATTCCTTGGCAGTCATCATGAAACTACTCATTCATCTCTTCAATTGACAGCTGATGACAGGCCATGAGTCTCACAGTCCTCCTCCTTTCTTGCAACTCTAAGCGTCTCTGACAGCATCGGGGCTTCAAAGAGCCAGGTGGGCTGGGAGTGGCTGCTGAAGACTTGTTTACTACTTCAGAGCTACAAGGTGTTGGCTCGGTTTCAGCTGTCGACTGCAACTCCTGGTCAGCCGGTAACCTGATCTCTTGTTCTCCTTCTGGCTCAGAGCCAGCTGCAGCCGGCTATTCAGTTATCCCCTGAGGGCTAGCAGGTAGCTCTTTGTCTGAGAAATCTGAGATGTCACTCGGCGCTTACAACAGCCAGTTCTGTAACAATGTGCCAGCTTTTGAGCTATACAGAGCTCTTTCTCAGAGCGGGGAGGCGGCAGCAGCCAGTGTAAGAGCTGCACCATTGGCCTTACCATGTGATTCCTTCACAGGGTTGCCAGCTCCAGGTTGGGAAACACCTGGAGATTTGGGGGGTACAGTGCCACAAAGTCTATCCTCCAAAGTAGCCATTTTCTCTGAGATCTCTCACCTGGAGATCAGTTGTAATCCCAGGAGATCTCTGGCCTCCACTTGGAGGTGGCAGCCCTGTTCCTTATATGTGTTGTAGTGCCTGTGTACTCAGGAGAGTGAATTCTCTTAACCCTTTCCCTCCCATATCCTCTTGCATGCCGAGTCACAATATCCAACAAAAAACAGCCAGGTTTGAACGATAGACCCGGGAGAGGGATTTGCTTTGCCTCACCAGCTTCTCAATTCAGTTAGGCCTCAGCCTTTTAGGCACGATACCGAGTCAGTTCTTGCAGCCCGTTTCGTAGAAAGCTGTGCAGGGAGACAGGTTATCTCTCGGGGACTGAAAGCCCCAAAACGAGAGCGCGTCTCAAGGTGCAAAACGTTCCGAGCAGAGTCTTGACTTCGCCGCCGCCAGCCCTTTGTTTAGCTGAGCCGGAGTGCCTTGGACCGCTGTGATTTTCAGAGCCGCTCCAGCATAGCAGAGAACTTTCCCTGGACCTCCGACATAACTCTTATTGAGACTTTCCACTGTGAGCTGCCAGGAGCGGAGTTAAGAGTGTGAATATCTTGTTATGAAGACATCCGTGTAAGTGAAGCGTCTGGGAAGGATCAGATCAAGGATGGATAAGATTATAGCAGGGGATATTAATAACTTCCAAAGTGTGTGTGTGGGGGTGGGTGGGAATTGCAATCACTTTTTGGGCTGCAGACTTCCTGAGTAACTCTTCCCAAGTGAGTCATCTGTCAGGTCTTTCACTGGGTCTCATGATACTGTCGGTTCCTGAACTGAGGCATGCGCCTTCTGTAGGATGGAGCAGATTAATTCTCTTGCAGTAGCTAATTGAAGGTCAAAGAAGACGGGGACGGCAAAGGATGAGATGGTTAGACAGTGTCATAGATGCAACGAACATGAAATTGAGCCCACTTCAGAGGACGGCGGAAGACAGGAAGGCCTGGCGTGATCTGGTCCATGGGGTCGCAAAGAGTCGGACTCGGCTGTGCGATTGAACAACAACAAAAGTAGCCAATTAACATTTGTGGTTGCAGCAGCAGCTGTGTACACATGAACATAAGAACACAAGAGAAGCCAATGTTGGATCAGGCCAGTGGCCCATCCAGTCCAACTGTCACACAGTGGCCAGAAATACCCGGTGCCCTCAGGAGGTCCAGCAGTGGGGCCAGGACACTAGAAGCCCTCTCACTGTTGCCGCCCCCCCCAAGCAACAAGAATACAGAGCATCCCTTGCCCCAGACCGAGAGCTCCTGTCTATACCTTGTGGCTAAGAGCCACTGATGGAACTCTGCTCCATATAAGAACATAAGAGAGGCCAATGTTGGATCAGGCCAAAGGCCCATCCAGTCCAACACTCTGTCACACAGTGGCCAGAAATACCATGTGCCCTCAGGAGGTCCAGCAGTGGGACCAGGACACTAGAAGTCCTCCCACTGTCCCCCCCCCCAGCACCAAGAATACAGAGCATCCCTTGCCCCAGCCTGAGAGTTCACACATTTTTTTGTCTCTGCTCAGGAAGGATGGCTCCAGAGCAAACTAATTTATGCAGCAGCCAACTCGCTCACTCACAACTTTAATGCCAGTCGCTCACAAAGTAGAAGTTTTGCTCGTGAGACTCCACAGCTTAGAGGGAGCATTGCTCCCTTCATATATTACAGGGGTGGCCAAACGAGCTCAGTGTAAGAGCCACACAGGATAAATGTCAGGTGTCTGAGAGCCGCAAAACATGAACAAATATTATACCCACATTTTTATTTTAAAATATGCAGATTTGCTTTTTCATTAACATTAAATGAGACGGTCAAAAATAAAAACAAAAGAAGTAAAAACAGATATTGATAATGATATTTATTTGCTAATGATATTTATTTGTCTAAGAGAGAGAGAGAAAAAGAGGGAGGTGGAAAGAAAGAAGGAAAGAGGTGGAAAGAAAGCGAGCGAGAGAGAGAAACAAAGAGCAAATAGATGGGAGGGAGGGAGAAAAAGTATGCCTCCCCTCCGCTTCCCCAGCTGCCCTGCCAGGAGCTGTACAACATGTGGGAAAGAGGGGCATGTGGCTCCCGAGCCGCAGTTTGGCCACCTCTGATATATTAGTTTCACAGGGTAGCCATGTCGGGTCTGCAGCAGACATGCTTGATTCAAGTCCGGTGGGACCTTGGAGACGGACAAGATTTTCGGGGCATGAGCTTCCGAGAGTCAAAGCTTCCCTTCGTCAGACGCAAGCTGGAATGAGAATCTCTGGGTCTCTATATCCCAGTCAGGAGGCGGGAGGGATGCTGCAAAGGCGCAAAGCAGCATTTCTCCCCCCTTCCTTTGCTTAAACACACGCGGTCTCTGGTTGGCTCTAATCGGTCTGTCGCTTTCGGCACGGCAGAGCTGGGGCTGCGAACGGGTCCCGCTCTGGCACTGCCCCCTATATTGAAGGCCGTACAACCAGGCTCTGACGTCAGCACAATGGCGACGAGATTAGTCATATCAGTCCCCTAGTGGTGATGTGGGGCTAAGCGGGCAGTTTGAATTCAGTTGGTGGAGTGTCGGAGAGAGATTTCAGTTAGAGGAGACTCGTGTTGGCTGTTGACTCTTCCTCTGTAATACTCTGCTAACAACAGTTTCTGTCCTTCATTTCTGGATTAAATATGCCTTTTCACTGTTGTGTTCCTGAATGTATTTTCAT